TTAAATTCAGCGGCCCAAAATTTCACTGTCGTAAATGATGGTGCAGAGTCCCCATACACAGAATCCAACTCATCTTTGATTTGCGTAGGCGTATTGCCTTTCAAAAACAAATATTTAATGACAGCTCGATACTCGATTTTGTCCATTTTCACAAAAACACTCACATCAACTTACTCAAACGACTGTTACATAACAACTGCGAGTCCAAAATGGCTGAAACTTCGGTGAGTAACTGTCAACAGATGAACAACGAAATTCACTAGCTTTTATTTACAAGTGCTGCTATCTTCACGTTGAGGTCGGAAACTTTTCAGACCACCCTCGTATATATATATATATATATATATATATATATATATATATATATATATGTTTTTACAATTAGCTATTTTTACAATTAGCATACAGTTTCTGTTATAGAATTCTTTTTTGACACAAGCAAAAGGTATAATTGTAATGTTAGTCGCAAGAAAACCTCGATTTTTTTTCTACAGTATTAATTATTAAAAGGATTCGATAACTGTTTTACATTTAATTTTCAAGAATATCTTTAATAATTTATCAAAAACAATATCTTTATGGAAGGAAAAGTACGGTAAAACATCCAGTTATTGATTCCCTTTAGTGATTGATGCTCTAGAAAAACCTGATTTTTCCTTGCAATCACCGGCAGTTGTTCACAGTTTTATTTGTGAAGTTTCAGGGACCAGAGAGTGTAGGCAAGAAATTTAACTACAATGATGGTTGCAAGAAAAATGAAACTTTTTTAGAATTTCAATGACGAAGGGAACGAAGGGAATAATTGGGTGTTTTATCTAATTTTCCGCGGATATTTTTGATAATTTATCAAAATTGGTATCTTCGCGGAAGAAAATGTAGGATAAAACACCTAATTAGTGATCCTCCTTATATAGTATTAACGTTCCAATCGACTGTGGTAGAAAAAAACTTGCTTTTCCCTTGCAACCAGTGACAGTTGTTCATAGTTTTAATCGTGAAGTTCTCTTTTGGAATTGCAAGCACGATGTTTAACTGCAATGCTGGCTACAAAAAAATCAGGTTTTCCTGGAGTGTTAATTACTAAGAGGAGATTCCATAATTAGGTGTTCAAATACAGTCTCAGTTGTGAAGTTCTCTTTTTGAATCATAGAATACAAGGAAGAAATTTAACTGCAATGCCGCTTGCCCCATTGAAAACCCAAGTTTTTTTTCCAAAGTTTTTTTTTCTCAGTGACTAAAAGGCCATCTTCAATGGGATTGGCAGTAAGACAGTAGGCAGTAAGACATAAGCAGTAAGCAAATTGACCAATCACAGTCGATTATTACAAGATCAATTTACTGTCTGCTATCAATGTCATTGTAGATGGACCTTAAGGGAATTAGATGTCTTAGGGCTGTGGCACACAGAAAAACTTAAGCAGTAAGACGTAAGCAGTAAGTAAATTGACCAATCACAGTCGTTGATTCTTGGGCCGTAAAAAGAATCAATGACTGTGATTGGTCAATTTGCTTACTGCTTACGTTTTACTGCTTAAGTTATTCTGTGTGCCACCAGCTTTACCCTAATCGACTTCGTATAGGGTTCCGCGAATGTGAGCGAATCCTTATAATTTGCGCGAGGTATTTTCTGTCGGTCGCGAGACTGGCGTAACATGCGCGAGCATGCATTAATCCGTTAAAACGAGACGAACGATGGGGGATGGAGTCGCGAGCACGATGTAACGGCTAATTCATCGCGCGGTTTGTCATTAGCTGTCGCGCGCACGTACGGGACGGCGTACGGGAACGTTTCCGGTTACGTTTACGGCATCGGCATCAATTTTTGACGACGACGTCGTGCCCGCCGCGGACGCGCGTCATGATTTATCGATTCCGGCCGGTTAAACATCGACAGCCCCGGCCGGCTGGCCGGAGGCTGATGCAGCCAACAACGGCGAGCCGATAGGACTCACTAATCATTAACTGGCGGCCCAAGGTTGTGGCAACATTTCGCCGATTGTATCTCGCGGACGTTCGACACGGTCGCGCGTAATCAATATGTACGATGATGGTGGTGGTGGTCCCTCCAAGGGCCGCTCCGCCGACCGAAATATCGCGATAATGCATACACATGCACACACACATACACACAGAGGCAGGTCCCAAAACGCGCTAATTTAAATTACCACGCTTTCAAGCCCTGCTCGCGCTCGGAGCGTAAATTTAAATTTCTGAAATGGGACGCGCGCGCCGATAGGAGAGAGAGTGCTTGTTAGCACGGTGGTAGCCATCAACATAATTAACCTCCCCCCCTCCTCCCCCCTAAGTGGAGACGCCTGTGTATCATTATTAGTATACGCCTCGATGTTATGGGGTTCGAATGTGCTTACGAGAATTTAGGTCCGCGTCAGGTGCCCTGATTTAAGCGCAGTAACGCGAAATATCCAATTAAGTCATAATGGGGGTACCTATTGCCAACATCCGGCTGCAACACATCGCGCCGCTGCGGCGCGATATATTTACGTTCACGTTCACGAGGTGGCGCGGGTGGATAGGCGGGATTGGTCTTTTGATACGACACACGATGAGCGCGTGTAACGAACGGCGGCCTCCTTGATTCGATCTACCTTCCGATGGAGTAACGTAACGTGAAGGGTGCACGTGGATGTGTGCGCGTGTAGACGCGTGTACGTTACGGGTAGTACGTGCCGTCGAAGACGCGCCAATTCAGCATATTGCCCGGAAGAGTGGAGAGGTGAGAGAGCACCTCCGAAATCAAAGGAACGTATAACGAAACTCTTAACGCAACGACGACCTAGTTCGTTAAACGCGCCCCATCTCGCGTTCCAGACGTGACTATCCTTCCGAATGGCATTCTCGGCTGTCGATCGTGGCCGAGAGACTTCTTCTCCATGCACGCACCCCAATATGCGATCACACAATATGCGATTTCAATGCCATATTCGTTGAAAAATGTCGGATAAAAAAAACCAAGTCTCAGTGTCGCGCAAATTTTGTTACACACACTGCAGTACAGACGAATTGTATAAAAATCGGATCAGATCGATAATTTGGCGTATTAATTTCAACTACTAAACGAGTTAACAATATTAAGACGCAAAATTAGTCAACAGTAAGAAGTTGATTAAACCGAAACGTAGGACGATGTGGATGATGTGGAACAATATTGTAAAATATTTAATATTATTCTTGATATAAATATTTCCTTAAAATATATTAAAGATTTCTTCTTAAAATTTATAGGTTCCTTTAAAATTATACTTTTACAAACTTTTTTTAAAGCTATTTTTAAAAATCTATTTTGACATTATAATATAAATTAGTACAGAAACAATAAATTTGACAATCTATCGAAAAAAAACATTTGAGTAATCACAATAATTTTATGGTAAAAAGTCAATTTTTAAACACATATGTAGTAATTTCGGTGATAATTTTTGCATGGTTCAAGGTTATAAAAATTTTGTTGCAATTTTTACAATATTTTCTTCGCCTATGACATAAATATTTTTTCAACCGTCAAAAGATCGACCTAACTGCATAATATGAATAATTCTACTTCCGCTTAGAAGGTCAAATAAATCAGACGATTGATACAATCAATGTATTGAATCAGTTGAATCATTCTCGTTTTATTGAATTAAATGTTGAACTTGTTTTACACAAACAAAAGATTAAAAAGATATAAAAATTTTAACTTATGGCAGTTAACTCATCGTACACGTCGCTTATCGTTCAACACGATTCGATTTGTTTTGACGGGTCTTTTTGTACACTGAGAGAAGGATTTAGTAAATATTATCAAAATTTAGTTACTATTACTAAATGGTAGACGTAAATATAGCGGGCCAAAGCTATGGCAATACTTATTAATTAATTTAGTTCTGTAAAATAAATTATTTATTTGACAGAAGTAAAATTTATTTGCTTCCAGAATATATTTGGTAAATAAAACTTATTGAATAGTTGAGCAAAATGAGCGATTTTGTAATAGTTACAAAATTTTTAGTAGGTTCAACCAACCATCTGTAATAATAGATACGATGTAAAACGAGATACGATATTGAAACGATGTAATAGCTGCAAATGAATGAATTTTTCGTTGTGCTGCAACAAAATATATTTATACTGGTAACAAAATAGAATTCGTACCTACTGAATCTTTTATTACATAGGATATAATAATTTCATAACAATTATCAAATATCTGTTCATAACTGTAATATATTTCATATTAAATATTTAACATTAAATAACCATTACTAAATTATTTAATTGATGTTACTGTGAATGCAATTACGTCATACTCCCGATCTATTAAATATTTGGTAATGATTATCATATTTAGTTACTAAGAATTCAACGAATTTCTGTAACTAAATGCAGTTTGTTATAGTTACCAGTCTTTTCTCTCAGTGTATAGTGTATCGAAAGAAGGAAGAAAACGTAAGAATGACACCTCGCGCCCATTTGGTCTCGCGATGCTGGCGTCACAGCAATTTGGAATAACTGATCCTCACTTTCTCAGCCTCCCCTTTTCTGTTACTTTTGCAGTTCGCAACGGTTATTCTTGCGTACCTGTTGCTCTCTCGGAAGGACTCGATATTCGATTGAACACAGCTGCTAGGGCGGTGCGATACGGGCCAACTGGTGTAGAAGTATGGGTCGCGCCCTCCCGTAGTCCGCACACAAATCAAACCATCCACAAGGCCGACGCTGTTCTGGTTACGTTGCCACTTGGGGTCCTCAAGGCTTACTCGCCGCCTTCCGGGGTCGCCTTCCATCCGCCGCTTCCGGAGTGGAAGACTCAGGCCATTCAACGACTCGGCTTCGGCAATTTAAATAAGGTGAGCGCCGACGTCTTTCCTACCTACACCCCAACCCCGGTCCAGAATCGCCAGTGCCGCTTCGCTGTCGTCCTAAAGCGGCCTGATTTATGCCGCTCGCGAGAAAGACGGCAGAGAGGGAGGAAGGGCTGGCTGGCTCGCTGTCGAGCGGGTGTAAGGGCATTAGGACTGCATAATCGCGCATTAAGTCTTATCACCGATCGCGCACTGGCAGATTCCGGCGGTAATTAACGTGCGTTCTTTTAACGAACGGGGACCAACATCGAAGGGCGTGGCAGCAGCAATGCGCGGGCATTTGGCGTACGTCATTCGATTAAGGAATGTCGTAACGGTTAAGCGGTTACGATCAGGACAGACGGGATCGAGGCAGATTTCTTTTAGGGGACGCGCGGAATCGTATCGCGACAAAGGGCTTATCGGGATATCCGTATCTCCTGGATAAACGGCGATTAATTACTCGCTGTTGAAATTGTCATTCCGGCCCGGAGATGTGGGATTTATGTTTCTTCAAACATATAAGTGGAATCGTGGTGAATATCTGTGCGGAATCATGTCACTATTCTCCTCTTCAGCGACAAATTTATTAAAATCAAAAGAAAATGATATAATTTTAAAATGACATATGACATTATATGACATTTGTTAATCATGTGACGAGTTGCCTCTCTTTCTTATACATAGAGTTTTGTGGCAAATATTTATTCATAGTAATGTTTGTTATATTTTAAAGGCACTTTACTCAACATATTCTTCTCCTTTACTCTTGTGAACCGCCTTATAAGAATATGCAATCTATCTTTATAAGTTTAAAATACTCAAATATTGGCATCCAGTGACTTTAGTCATCGACAGTCTAGAAAAACTTGATTTTTCTTGCGACCAGCATTGCAGTTAAACCATTTGTCTATACACTCTATGATATCAAAAGAGATCTTTGCAATTAATATTGTGTGAACAGATGCTGTTAATTGTAAAAGATATAATATTTTTCTAGAGCGTCAGTGACTAAAAGAGATACTAAAGATTGGATGTTTTATCCTAGTAGTTCGTGAAATTTCTCAACTGATATTCTCCACACGTGAAACGCGCGTTTTTTTTCTTTCTTTTCTTTTTTTAACGTGAGTAGAACGCAGTGGTATGAAAACACCGAAGAAACTGGAAGTGCCTCAGCCTTCTCCTTCGGTCTGCGCGTTTCAGCTCTCCCACTTTCTTAATCTCCGTGCTTTTTTCTGTCCAACTTCTCGCAGGTGGTATTATGCTTCGAGCGCATCTTTTGGGATCCAACGGCCAATTTGTTCGGCCACGTGGGAAGTACCACCGCGTCACGCGGCGAGCTCTTCTTGTTCTGGAACTTATACAAGGCGCCGGTCCTCTTGGCCCTCGTCGCCGGCGAGGCAGCCTGCGTAATGGAAAATGTCAGCGACGATGTTATCGTGGGCCGCTGTATAGCCGTCCTGAAGGTAAGTGGATGAAATTTCTAGCTGGCGCAAATATGAAGGTGGAGTAGGAGAGGTAAAAGGCGCGCGTCTCTGACTCCGCGCTGGTGTTATTTAGCGCACAAAGCTCGAGGATACGTCTCTTCGCGCCGATATTACACACTCGCGACCCTCCCTTTTCTTGCTGCTTGCTGTTTTGCGAGCAGGTACGCGGAAAAGCTAAAGGGAATGAATATCTAATGAAACGAACCTGTCTCTTTACCCTGGCACAGGGCATCTTCGGGAATCAAGTGGTACCGCAGCCGCGTGAGAGCGTCGTCACGAGATGGCGTGCGGATCCATGGGCTCGCGGTTCCTACAGTTTCGTCGCGGTCGGTAGTTCCGGCAGCGATTACGATCTCTTGGCGGCACCGGTCGCCGCTCCGTCGCCGCTAGTCAACCATCCTCCAGGCACACAGGCGCAGCCAAGGGTGTTCTTCGCGGGTGAGTATCAAGTCCGTTCAGGATACCTCGCGACACGCGCGTCATTAAGGACCAGTTGTCTAAATTGAAGGAAAAACAAAGACAGACATACGATTTAACTATCAGTTAATTTACCAAGAAGTTGGAACAACCGGCCCTAAGACACGGGAAACTTATACTGAAAAAAAAGTCTGGTAATACTTACCACAGCCATTTGGTTGTGCGTTTTAGCATACTATTTGGCAAATAGTTATCATCAATATGGTAAATATTACCAAATGTGTAGTAATAATTACAAAATAGTTAGTAACAATTTTTGATCTAGTCAAATTAAATGATTTAATAAATAGTATTAAATACATTAGTAATAGTTAATATCAAATAAAGTAAAAATTACCAACTTGAACGGTAACTCTGAATGTTATCTTGGGAAAGTGTCGTGAACATGAAGCATCAGTTAGCTCAGTGGTTAAAGCAGTCGCCCGGCAACTAAAAAAGATCCACACTGAGAGAAAAGACTGGTAACTATAACAAACTGCATTTAGTTACAGAAATTCAACATCAATTAAATAATTTAGTAATGGTTATTTAATGTTAAATATTTAATATGAAATATATTACAGTTATGAATAGATATTTGATAATTGTTATGAAATTATTATATCCTATGTAATAAAAGATTCAGTAGGTACGAGTTCTATTTTGTTACCAGTATAAGTATATTTTGTTGCAGCACAACGAAAAATTCATTCATTTGCAGCTATTACATCGTTTCAATATCGTATCTCGTTTTACATTGTATCTATTATTACAGATGGTTGGTTGAACCTGCTAAAAATTTTGTAACTATTAGTATCCTTAGTAACTAATACTAAATATGATAATAATTTCCAAATATTTAATAGATCGGGAGTATATTATAAATATTTAATATGTATTATAAATATTTAATATGAAATATATTACAGTTATGAGCAGATATTTGATAATTGTTATGAAATTGTTATATCCCATGTAATAAAAAATTCAGTAGGTACGAGTTCTATTTTGTTACCAGTATAAGTATGTTTTGTTGCAGCAACGAAAAATTCATTCATTTGTAGCTATTACATCGTTTCAATATCTATTATTACAGATGGTTGGTTGAACCTACCAAAAATTTTGTAACTACTACAAAATCATTTATTTTGCTCAACTATTCAATAAGTTTTATTTACCAAATATATTCTGGAAGCAAATAAATTTTACTTCTGTCAAATAAATAATTCATTTTACAGAACTAAATTAATTAATAGGTATTGCCATAGCTTTGGCCCGCTATATTTACGTCTACTATTTAGTAATAGTAACCAAATTTTGATAATATTTACTAAATTCTTCTCTCAGTGTAGATTCGATTTCCGGCCTAGCAAACCGCGTTTTCGTCATTTTTCACCGGAACGAAAAGAAGACGTAGGTTCCAACCGCCGCGACCTTAGTACGTCCTCCTCATTCGATCATCATAGTTGGAATCAAGCATTATTACGATATTTGCAAATATTTTTAATATGACAATTTTTGTAATTATTACTATACTTTGCGTAATTCTAATCAAGTCTTGGTAACAATTACCATAATTCTTGGTTCATAGTTACCAAATGATTTGGTCATATTCACCTCTACTTAGTTGATACTATTTCACTAAATAATTTAGTAACTACAACACAGGCTGGATAATTATTACCAGAAATTTTTCTCATTGTAGTTATTGAGTTTTCATGTGTTTGTATTATGTGAAGTGCCATATGCTTGTGTGCTTGTGCAAATGCAAAGTCGCGTCAATTAGCGTAACGTATAGATTTATATACACAGATTGCAGATGAGAGATTTGAAGATAAGATTGAAAGTTGTATTCTCCTTGTTTGCAGACATACTATCTTCGTTCAGCTTTCTCCAATAAGAGTCAAGCTAGACAAAGATCGAATGCCAGCAGCGTACAGGGCATCTTTTTCTAATCAAGTCTTTGCTACCTTGTCTTTGCTACTTTGTGGAGCGCTCTACAGAATGAGTCATGGAATCGTAACACAGTTGATATATATATTGTTGAATATCTGCTGTTAAAGATAGAAAGCAATATGTGGGAAAAGTCGAATGGCTTAACAAATATTATTTTCTTATGAAGTAAGCAATTTACTGGTGCAATAATCTACCAGAAAAATGCAAGTATGCAACTTTGTTTTAGATTAAATCTCCCTTAGTTTTTGAATATATAAATTCCTCAGAATATAATACGTACAAAAGTATTAGAGTAAGATGCTCAAAATTAGGATTCTGTGACTCATTCTGTAAATTTATGACGTAACGTGATTTACATCGTCGCTGCCATAGACTTGAAGAGATAGATTACATACTCTTGCGAGAATAATAAGATTAAAGGAGAGAGATATGCTGAATCAGATGCTTTCTCTATCACACAGTAGGGGAGACCGATTGTGCCAGATGGTACATTTTTCAGAATTTCTAGATTGCAACTTCTTAGATAACTAATTGTTAAATGATTGAGTGTACAAACAAGATAGAGACAACCTTTTATATACTTTTATGCTCGTAACGACCCTAAATATAAACGATATATTTTCTTCTGTAATAATCAAAATACGAATATGCATAATGTAATCTATCTTGTTCTGGTACTGGGTTAAATTTACTAACAACTCAGAAGAGACTAACAAGAAGACCACGTATAAAATATTCTGATTAGTAATTCTGAAGTTTTCGCGAGAAATTTCCATAGATTCCTGCCGGCCATTTAAATAATGGCCAACTTTATTTAGCCTACCCATATACTCAATTTTAATCATTTTATAAATGAAAATTGCTTTTATTATCCGAAACACAGCTTAGGCAGCACATACCTTCTAGGGACGTCTCTCTCTCTCTCTCTTGTAGACATCCTGAAAACATGTCTATGTCCTCAGGACATCTCTAAGACGTTCTCAAGACGTCCCTTGAAAATTCTGTGTTGTCTGAGAGTGTATCATACACTTACAAGAAACTTCATTCTAATTAATAACACGTCATTTAAGTTTATTTACAAAATTACAATATGCTTGAAGATGTACTTGGGTGTTCTGTATATAAAAATCAGCTTTTCTTATTTTTGTACTCTCATTTTTGTCAACTGTAATATTATTCTGGTTCTAATAAAACTGGAAAAAAAGTATTTACATTCTAAAAGGAACATTTTGCGATTTCTTTTTCATTGTTTTTCTCGCGATAAATATATAAACAAAACACATAGCCAACATATTTCTTGAGTGAACTAAACTCGGTCCCCCTTACTCTAGAAGTAATTGACTTAGGGAAAAAACAGAAAAGAGTGAAACATAATGTGAGTAGGAAAGGACGCATTAGCCGTATGATCGCTTCTCCTCCTTCCTTCTTCCCATCAACTAGGCAATTAGAACAAGGAAAACATCGAATTCTCTGTTGCCTTCTCCTACTAATACTGACAATCTCCAACCCTCCGACGGGAATGTGCAGTCTATCTCTTTAAGTCCACGGCCGCTGCAGATACCGCGTTTCCGTTCCGGGCGCGCGCAGTAATTCCATCGACGGTTGTTTCAAGTTCCTACAATTTGCGAAATACCGCAAATCCGTTGCGCGAATTCGCAAGCGTCACGGTGCATTAGCGCTTATTGAGACCTAACGAGACGGTTTGACGAAACACGTCGCGACGAAGAAATTTCCGCGACGGATTAATAAGTATCAAGCGTGCGGATAAGGAAGGAGGGGGAGAGGAGGAGCGGTAGTGAGTGGCGCGTTCGGCATGACGTAAATCCGTCGAACTTCGCCCGCCGCGGAGATCAACGTCAAGCACACACACATACACGCACACACACATCGTCGCGCATGCGACCGTTTCCGTCTCGACGGGGTGGCGCGCGTTGATCTACATGAAACGGCGGATTTTCAGGTGAACACACAATACGGAATTATCCAGCGACCGTGCACGGCGCATTCCTCAGCGGCCTTCGCGAAGGCGGACGTATAGCCGACCAGCTTTGCGGGAGTCCTTACGCGCCGCCGACGATGCCAACTTCCGTTCCGCCGTCAACGGGGATCGCGCAGGCGAATAGCGGCACCAGCTCGACGCCTTAGAGTGCTTTCGTTCTTGCGATTTTTGTCTTTCTTCAGGCCGGGGACAACCGTCTTTCCGCGGGAAAGTCTTTCCTTTGCAGAGCTTTTCTCTCGGAAGAGAAAGGAGAGAAGCATTCTCCGCGATAATTCGAGTCCCGCGCCATCCGATTCGTCAACGAGCGCGACTGCAGATTCGTTCTCTGATCGGATATCGGTTCGATTTTAAGTTCAACGTTTTCACGACATGTTGCGTTATGTACTCTCTAAATTACTTGGAGTAAAATTTCGTTCAAGTCTCCTGATTACTCGTCGCGAAACTCTTGATTGATGACGTTTACAGTGAGGAAATGTATGCCCAAAATGCCTGCAAAATACGTCGAAATAAGAGAGGATATCCAAAAAATAACATTTGCAATAAATTAAGAACTTCTTAAAAATACACTTTCCCTTTTCTCTAATAATCAATAAGTAATTGTAAAATTAACGTGACTTACGTACGTTTAATGTACGTTTCCTGATTATTTTGTCACGTTAACTTTAGGTTATTTGTTGATAGAGTAAAAGGAAAGTATTTAGAGTATTTAAAAGATGTACTTAATTAATATTGTGTTATTTTTTAATATATTTTTTTTATTTCGACATACTTTGTAGGAATTTTGAATATATATTTCCTCGCTTTTGACGTCATAAATCAGGATGGCTGCAAAACGAGTAACTTTAAAACGAGTGAAAATTATAATGGAAACATTGGGATCACAAGAGAGAATGTTGCACTCAAACTTCAAATGCCTTCTTATTTACTTAAATTAACAATGGAAATTACTATTTCTATTGATTGGAGTGAATTTGCATTAATGATGGCGAAATATATTAAATTCAATCTTTAATTTTGAATAAAAATATTTATTCGAAATATTTATATATAAAATTTATAAAAAATATACAAATAAACAACATTTTCTCACACACTATGAATAGAAAATATTCATGCAAAGCTTCAAAGTGAAGAAGAATTCACCCTTTTTGAGTGAAAAACACTAGACTTATCAGATGGAGTTCCACTCGAAGAAATTCAGAGAGTACGTCGAAATTATTGTGACTAAGACTAAATTGTGAAAGCACGTCTCGAGTATTTCGTCTGTTCTATCTCGCCTGTACACGAGTTTTGATTGATGTCAATTATTCATATCGACTCGATTTTTCTGTATTAATTATAAAGTAGATTAAGTGGTTTGTCATATTCTTCCGCGTATATTCGACTGTTTGTTTCATTTTTCCTATTCCCAACTGTATGCTTCCATTATTTAGCCTATCTATGGAATTAATCGTTTTCGTAGATTATCGCGCTCACGAGCGAGAAGTATTATTATGATTATTTTACTATTTTTACTTTTATTATTACTATCATTATTTATAAAAGCATTCCACAACACACATTGATTGAATAAGAGACAAGAAACGACAGTCTGCCATTAAGTGTGAGCTACACGAATATTTCTTATCTGAAAAAAAATGCAGAATAACACGCAATCATGAAATTGAATTATCTCGTAGTGCAATATTACTTTGTACGATGATAAGTCGAAGCGGACCGATCAAATCCAATCCAATCGTGTTCGCATTTAATTCGTACTTTTGACGTGGTGAAGAATGCGCGCCATTATTTATGTATATGTATCGAATATTGCACATATTTTTGGACTTTGGATCTGACAGAACTGGCATTATTTTCTTTTCCATTTGCTGTCATCCCCGTTGCATGAGTGATCGCGTTATTTGCAGCATTTTTACTCGTAGTGACCGACACCTGTTTGTCTCTTCGAGAGAAGCACGTTCATTATAAAATAATATTGCGATCATAAAATAGTTTTACGACGAGTTTTGTTGCGGAGAGACCGATACACGGGTCGAACACGTATATTGCGCTTCCGCCGCGAGCGCAACGCATATTTGGACATTTTCACTCCATTGTGCCGACCTTTCGCACAGTTACGGAGAGAGGTGGACTTAATTAACGATATTGAAAACTAATCGGGCTGCGAAGCCGATTACGAGATTTGGCGTATATATTTGTGCGCGCGTGTGCATACGTGCATGTGTTATGACACAAGATATATGCAGATACGTGTATATTACAAATTAAAGAGTCATGAACGATACTCCACTGAAATTGTTTTTTCCCAATCTTCTCCTCAACTATAGATATATATTGCCACTTGAAATCATAAGAGTAATCACATAAAATTCAAGGAATGCGACAGAGGGAGGAGAGAAAGTGAGAAAATTTTATATATATTTTTTTTATTTTATTTTATATATATATATATATATATATATATATATATATATATATATAT